ATAAACATTGACACCAACAAAGTCCCCCCAAAACCCACAAAGACATGGACACTAAACAGCATGATGCTAAATAACTCCTGGGTCAATGATGACATCAAAATAGAGATCAAAAGATACCTGGAAACAAATGAAAATAAAGAAACATCTTACCAAAATCTCTGGGATGCCTTAAAAGCTGTAATAAGAGGGGAATTTATATCCCTACAAACACACATGAGGAAAATGGAAGGAACAGAAATTGACAACCTAACAAGCCACCTAAAGAAGCTGGAAAAGCAAGACCACAAAAACCCTAATTTCAGCAGAAGAATCCAGATCACCAAAATAAAAGCCCAAATCCAGGACATAGAAGACAAAAAGATAATACAAAAAATCAATGAAACAAAAAGCTGGTTCTTCGAAAGGGTAAACAAGATTGATGGTCCCCTAGCTAGACTGACCAAGAAAAAAAGAGAAAAAAACCAAATAAGCATAATCAGAAACACAAAAGATGAAGTCACATCTGACCCTGAAGAAATACAAAAGATCATTTGAGACTACTACGTACACTTGTATGGAAACAAACTTGAAAACCTTAAGGTTTTCTGACATCACACAACCTACCTAGGTTGGAACAAGAAGAAATTGAGACCCTAAATAGACCAATAACAATCAAGGAAATTGACTATGTAATAAGAAAACTTCCTACAAAAAAAAGCCCTGGTTCAGATGGCTTTCCAGCAGAATTCTACAAGACATTCAAGGAGGAGCTGATACCAATCCTACTGAAGGTATTCCAGGCGACTGAAAAAGATAGAACTCTCCCCAAATCATTTTACGAAGCCAATATCACATTGATACCCAAGCCAGGTAAAGATCCAACAAAGAAAGAGAACTACAGGCCAATATCTTTCATGAATATAGATGCTAAAATTCTCAAGAAGATCCTAGCAAACCAGATTCAGCAATACATCTCAATAATCATCCACTGTGACCAAGTAGGCTTCATTCCTGGGATGCAAGTCTGGTTCAACATTCGTAAAACCATACATGTAATTAAATACATCAATAGATGTCAAAACAAAAACAACATGATCATATCATTAGATGCAAAAAAGCTTTTGATAAAATCCAGCATCCCTTCTTGATAAAAACCCTTGAACATCTAGGCATACGGGGAACATACCTCAAAATAGTAAAAGCCATCTACGAGAAACCCACAGCCAGCATACTCCTAAATGGACAAAAATTGGAACCAATTCCCCTGAAAACTGGAACTAGACAAGGATGCCCACTCTCACCTCTCCTGTTCAACATAGTATTGGAAGTCCTGGCTAGAGCAATCAGAGAAGTGGTGGCAATCAGAGGTATTCAAATAGGAAAAGAGGAAGTCAAGTTATCTCTCTATGCAGATGATATGATTGTGTAGCTTGAAAACTCAAGAGAATCTGTCAAAGCCCTCCTTACATTGATAAAGGCCTTTGGCAAAGTCTCAGGGTACAAAATAAATGTACAAAAGACAATTGCATTTCTCTACACCAATAATAAACAAACAGAAACCCAAACAAAAAACACAATTCCATTCACAATAATCCCCCCAAAATGAAATACCTTGGCATCTTCCTAACCAGAGACGTGAAAGACCTTTACAATGAAAATTACATAACACTGCTCAAAGAAATCAAAGCTGACATGAACAAGTGGAAAAATATCCCATGCTCATGGATTGGAAGAATCAACATTGTGAAGATGTCCATCTTACCTAAGGCAATCTACAAATTCAATGCAATACCCATTAAGTTACCAACAACATTCTTCTTAGACCTAGAAAAAACAACACAGGAATTCATATGGAAACACAAACGTCCAAAAATAGCCAGAACAATCCTCAGCAAAAAAAAAAAAAAAACAAAAACAAAGCAGGTGGTATCACAATACCAGACTTCAAACTTTACTATAAAGCTACAATCATAAAAACAGCTTGGTATTGGTACAGGAACAGGCATATAGATCAATGGAACAGAATTGAGATTCCAGAAGCAAAACCTCAATTTCTCAACCAACTCATCTTCGACAAAGCCCCTACCACCTACCACTGGGAAGAGGAGAACCTATTCAGTAAATGATGCTGGGAAAACTGGCTGACCACATGCAGAAGATTGAAACAGGACCCCTATCTATCCCCATGCACAAAGGTTAACTCCAAATGGATCAGAGACCTAAATGTAAAACCTCAAACCATAAGAACCTTAGAAAAGGAAGGAAATACTCTCATGGAAATCGGAACTGGCATCCAGTTCCTGTACAAAACCCAAAACCCACAGGTCATAAGAGAGAAGATAGACAAATGGGACCTTATTTAACTGACAAGCTTCTGCAAAGCCAAAGAAACCATCAAGAGAGCAGGGAGACAGCCTACAGACTGGGATAAAGTATTTGCCAACTCTAGGTCTGACAAAGGCTTAACATCCTGGATCTACAAGGAAATGAAATGTACTGAAAAGAAGAAAACAAACAACCCCATTATAAAATGGGCAAAAGATATGAACAGACACTTCACAAAAGAAGACATCTGAGCAGCCAACAAACACATGAAGAAATGCTCAACCTCACTAATCATCAGGGAGATGCAAATCAAAACCACACTGAGATACCACCTAACTCCAGTCAGAA